TCGGTACGATAATGTGATCAAAACCATCTGCGGACTCTGAGACCAGAGCAATTTAAAGAGTTATCCGTTTTCAACCGGTTCGCAGCTGATTGGTCTCTTTAAAATATCGCTTGCATTCCAGAGTAGAGCAATGTTCCGGTTCCAGTTTATTTTTAAGTACCCTCTACTCCAACGGTTTGAGGGGCTTGCTTACGCGATTTGAAAAACATACTTTAACCGGTTTGCTGCGTAACTAATTAGAATACGAACTGCATGGGGGTAATGTGGCTCAAGTTGTTTTCATCTTTGCGTTTTGTTGGCCTGCTGCCGTTGTCGCCGCGATTAACACGCCCACAAATCCGTTTAGTTATGGCCGCTTGTCCTCTTCTTCCTCGGCTTGCGTAAGGCGTTTACTACAGTCAAACTTCCGAAAATTAAACCACTAACCCAAAACATAATTGATATTTATTAGGTTCATCAGTATCTTTTTAAAAATACAACCTATCCAGCTTAAATTTGAATGCTCGTCATCCAAACTGCAGACATTTTTATTTACGCAAAACCTGTTAGTAAAATTACGCATTTAACCCAAAAAAAAGGTAAACACATTGGTCAAACCACCAATGCATAAAACCTAAAAGAAAAACAAAACAAAATGAGTAAAAAAAACTTTGGCACGTGATTGCAAAAAAAGAAAAGAAAAGAAAAGACAGTTCATGCATTTATTTCTAGCTAAACATTTTGCAGCCTCAAAAAAATTATTGCACAAAAATAAATATTACGTATACGCAACTTCGCTCCTAGCAACATGTTGAGAAACATGGTGTCTCAACACTAGGTCTGTTTAACAGCGCTGCTAACATAATGTACAAACAGTGGCTAACATATTATATCGACCTGCTGTAATATACTGTAAAACTAGACTGTAAAAACTGGACTAAACATATTTACAAAATTATGTGCTGTCACAAACACTTGCATTACTAAATTCAAGATGGAAAAGCTTCCCTGTTCCAAAGAATTTAATAAATATTCTCGTAAAAAATAATAATAAGCAGAACCACACAAGGCGTAAAATATTAGCGTCATTTCGGCACAGTGACTCCACCACACAAAGAGGAAGCGCTTAAATAGGGCTGATAAGTTCAGTTCTGCTTTTATGGGCTATAAAATTTGCGGCGGTGGGATGGCCGAAGTGTGACGTGACTCACTGTAGGTGGCGTGTTAGCAGAGGCCCGTTTTTTTCGAGGCTCCAAAGAGAGTCCAATAAGTTTCAGTCGGTCGAGCAACTTGTTTGAAAACACACAGAGCAGCCCCCAAATGTAGCTTTTAATGTGAAAGAAAAGAAATAAATATTTAAAAAAAAAAACATCCGCGGAGAACACGTTGAAAAGTAAACAAATTTGAATGTTCTAACTAGGAACAAAGTGTTTACGTGTAACAAAGATAGGCCAAAAGCAGCACTGCAAAGGCGGAGAGCGGAAGGCGTAGAGCGTGATAAAAGCGGTGGCGACAACAGAAACACGAATAATCGGAGAAAAAAGCTGAAGCAAATATCGTGGGTCACAAGACCATTCAGAAAAGCGAAAGAGAGAGACCGAGAGGCAGAGAGGCGATATGTGGAGCGCCAGAGCTTTCGCACAGTGCTAGCCCAAAAAGTGGGACACCCCACACACGAAAGCTTTTGCAGCTGCTACCGCTGCTCTCCCACTGAAAACCGCCACTGTCGTCCACCAGCAACATGTGGTTCGCAATTTCTGTGTTCGCCATTTTGGCCGTTTGCGGGCTGGCCGGCCGCAGGTGGGGCCGCTACCTCTACCTGCACTACGGCCGCCACCTGCTGCCGCGCTCCCTCCTCTCGGCCAAGAACCGCGCGCCCACTCCCCCACTCTCGCCCACCAAGGACGACCAGAGCCTGGAGGCTCTCCTCGACGAGAGCGGCGAAATGCACGAAACGGTGAGTGGCGACAAGGATCGGCGCGGCAAGGGATCTCTCCTTGGATTCAGTGTGAACGTACCAACTTAAGAAGCAGGGTTCCACTTCGTTTTTCAAAAATTGCTGACGCGTATCAGCAATCAAAACTTTTTTATAGGAAGAGTAAATGAATTCATAGTGAAAGGCCTTACGAAACAAGAACCGTTTTTTAATTAATTTTGGCACCTAATTTTCATAAATCAAAATCCCCGTTTCCTTGGCTAGACTTTGTTGCTCAGTGCGGTTAGTCATTAGTGCCTAGAATATTAGGGTTACGTCAATTATACAGCCATTATCGCACACGTTTCTCCTTTTAATTGCTCGAACTGATTTGTAACTAATAGGCATCATTATAAGCCTCAAATGTGGCTAAGACTCGCATCATCCCGAGCGAACGCCATTCGCCTGCCTGTCAGGTGTCTTGAACTTTGGTGTTTGCCTCGGGTCAACGATCTTTCCGGAGGAACCTCATCCCCAAGCAGCACAGGTAATGGGTTGTCACCCCTCAAAGCCGCGCGGCTGCCCACAAAGATTTGCTAGTTGCTATTTAGCTTTGACAAGCACTTATCTTGTTTTGGTTGGACTATGTGACCTCACAACACATGATAACTAACCTAAGCTATTCTGTGCGGCCAACCAAATATTTGCTTAGACATATGAATTACAAGGCACAGAGTGAAATGCATATGCAAAAACTAAGCAAACCTACAAAATGATAATTGCGCAAAAAATGCTGTCTTGCTATTTTAATGCGTTTAGGCAACAAAAAATGAGAAACTTAAAGGAATACATAAGTGCAAATGGCATGGTTGAAGTAAAATGAACTGATAATGAAGACGGAAAACCCGGAAAAATAGGAACACTAGGAACACTAATAGAACAAGTGTAAAACTACAACAAACTATTTAGATAGAGATATGATAGGTTTCCTTTTAAATTTCTGTACTTGATTCTTAGGAGCTCTCATGTGCGATTTATTAACAAGCCTTTCCTTCGCACCTCTGCCAAGCCAAGCCTCTCACACACCTTAATTACCACCCAATCCCTCCGCCAGTCCCACGAAACCCCACTACCCCTGCGCTTTTAAGCCAAGAATTCCTCACCCGTATATGCTTTTGCATACCTATCAGCTTTTTGCCATGCCTGCTGTTCTTTGTTTTAGACCCTTTGTTTTGCCGGCTCTTTCGCGGCTATCAGGTCTCAATACCCGTTTGCCCAGTAAGCTCTTTTCTGCTGCTTTTGCTGCTTTTACCTCTTTTTGTTTTGAGGCCGGTTCTGTGGATTTGACTGTCTGCCATACACTTTTAAATTGTTCGGGCCAGAGAAACCAGTTGATGCATAGCCGTTGCGGAATATGTTCGCCGCCGTTCCCCCAGCCAAAGTACGCGGGCTTAATAATTCTATATGTTCGAAAAGTGCTTTTAAATCGAGCTAGCCAATAAACGAATAAACAAACATATCTAGCAAATATATCACAAAATAATCGCATATCAAGTGGTGCACTGAGCCCTTATATGATCAGAATTTCGCTGCTTAAATGATGAGCTATCTGCTACCTGCTTCTTACCTTTGCTGCGCATACCGTGCCAAAATATAATGATAAGATATTCAAAGACCATCGTGCCAACACAACAACAGGCTACTGCGATAGCCTCACTTTCACAAGAAGCGATGGAAATAACTCAGGCTCCTGCCATTTAACTACTAATTTTAAGAAACAGATAGCTGATTGCTATCTTGAAATCGAAAACAAATTGTAGATCTTGTTATGCATATAATTCTGGTCAACTGAAACTCAAACCTGTGTCGTGACTGAATGGCCGAGGGAAACTCCCTTGGGAACTATTTTCTTTCCTGGCCGATTGTGTTTTCGACTCGAGTAAACAAGAGGTCGTCAACATTAATTGCTTGTATATGGCTGCCATATAGATCTTATCCGGAGTGCTACCGTTTCTGGGATGCAGAGGGTTGCAATGCCTTCCTGCAAACATCGTAAAGATAGATTTAGATTTATGTTCCATATGTCTGAACGGTCTTATCAGTCCAATGCTCAGTAACAGAATGACACTGATAATAAGCTAAACCAATTATTAGAAACTCATCGCAGTGCAGATATTGCGGCGATTCCGTGGTTAAGTTCTTATTTTACGAAGCCAAAGTGGAGTGGAGTGCAGTTCAGCACAATTTTTATGCAAACTGGTTAAAAACTATAAGCTACACGAAACTTTTGCGCATGAAATGAAATAATCCAGCGTGAGCAGTTTGTCACAGTCTACTATTTTTAATATTTTTATTATAATCGCTACTCCGATCTCGAAAAGCGCAAACCCGATATAAGCCCTCTCTGCGTAGTTATAATATAATAGCCTGGCTCTCTCTTTCGCCGAGCAAACTCACGACTTGAGCTGAGTTAATTTGAGCGAACGCAAATAAATATATTTTCGCTGACGGCCAATAAAAACGGTTGGCCTGAACCCGCGGGCAGTTGGCTTCTGAACGCGCTACGCCAAGTCGGTCAAGTCGGCGGAGTTCATCTCCTCAGCATCTCTGTTCAGCCAGAGCAACGAACGATAAAGATACTGATACCGATTCTGATACCGATTCTGATTCTGATTCTGATCCACAATTGTGCCCAGCACGTGCCCAAGTGGCGTATACTTGATATTGTCGTGTGTGCAAAAACTTTGAAGGCAGAAGAAATTGAACAACCCAGTGCCAGACTAGATGAAGATGTGCGAATTGATTGTCAGTCATGGACTCGACCGCGAGGTAAAAACATCATTAACGCGGCACGAACACATGATTCATGTGATTTCCCAGCTGTTCAATATGGCCAAATGGGTTTTCATTAATTTCGAAAGAGTTTTTACGCTCACAGTTCAGCGCAACTCAGGCTTAACTGAGCTCGTGCTTTGAAGTGCTCGGCAAATATATAAACCTATGTGCAATGTACCAGCCAGACTGTCATTGGCGTTTGACTTTGGGCCTCTCCTTCAAAAAACACGCTCTGATCTGCGATTGAGTGCTGACCCTCGTTGAGGTGCGTTGAAAATCGCTTTTTACTTTATTGCGGAGTCTGTGAAATTGCATTCTGCCTTTTAATTTGTGGGGGTCCTCTGAAAATCGCAGTCACGCCCCAATTACTGGACTCTTGTGCCCACTGAGTCGCAAATGTCACAAAAATGAGCTGATCAAAATGAGTTTCCGATCCGTTTCACTGACCCAAATTGATCTGAAAGCACACAGTTGAGCTGCCATTCAGATCTCGCGACCTTTCATGCGGCTTAGCTGTCTGCGACTATCTGACTATCGCAGATTTCATATCAGACTAATTACCGGCAAGGCCGTCTGTGGCCGAGATTGCTCGGCAGTTCCTGCCTAATTCAATTTGGATGGAGCCCTAGTACTTCGGCAATCGAAATCATGGCGCAATACTCGCGGAGCGCCACTCAGGGGTTCTTCAACTCGAGTGGTGGCGAAAAGCTAATCAATCATCCGCAGATTATCAAGATTTAATCAAGCCACCAACTGCGACGCCGAATTACATACGACTACAGCTGCTGTTGTGACATACGCGGTGTAGTATTTGGCGAGCTGGTTTTGTTTTTTGGCCTTATCAAGACTTGCTAATGGCTGAATCACGGCCGTCAAAGACCGAGAGACGAGCGAGAAACTGCCTTGAATTTGAGATGGCTGTGATGCCAGTGATCTCACGTCTGAATGGCAGCAGCTGTGGGTTGGTAACTGAAGTGTGGGTGCTGTCTCCTGATAACTCCTATCCCAGCCATAAGTAATGCTATGTGTGCAAAACCTATGAAAATGCCTGCAATGAGGCAGAGCCTCATACAATTAACACAATCATTGACGTCACCAGCAAAAGGTTCACACGCTGGTAAGACGACGTTGTCACACCCAGCAGCAATTCAAAACAAATGCTATATTAAGTAAAACAAAGTCCGCACGCTAAATTGGCCAGTGATCCGAAATGAATTTCACATGAAGTTCTAGCTCCTCTGCTATCAATCAGAAACTGCGATTTCTGGCGGATAAGATTGCGGTGAACTTAAAGAAGGGAGCACTAGCACCCAGTTATGCGGTGATATGGCTCAGTTCCTTGAAGAAGCCCCAATCGATCGGTTGTCCATCATGGGATTGCACGAAAAGCTGCGAAAGTTTCACCATCACCAGCAAATTTTAGGGGTGAGCTCAGGGGATCTGGATGGTTCTCTCCAAATGCTAGCATTTTTCAATTTCCACATTGAATGATCACGAAGAGATACTTATCGGCAGCGATTATTCGCTATTGTGGTTCTAGGACCTACGTACATTTACTAAATATCCCCTACTACAATATCCCCTAGCTGAAAATCCTAAATCCTAAATGGCTTGCGATCGAGCAGGCGTTGTGTTTGCCTTCATCGGTTTTCATCTGGGGGTTCGTTGAGCAGCTTCATTTCGTTGCCAGTCGTTGTTTTATTTCGTTTCGTACAGAGCTCTCCAAAGTAGAAAATTCGAATTTACATACCCAATTGGGGTTTATTCCGTGTTTTGTTGGTCTTGCGAGTCCGTGAAAGTGAGTTCTTAGTCCGTAAAGAAGCGTGCTTCGTTTTCGCAAGGTTCTTGCTAAATTGTGCGTGTATCTATTGGTTCCCACGATGAGTACCCACCAGTGCAGCCTGGGAAAGCTCGCCCGCCGAGGCGCCAGCCTACAGATCACCCAGCTGGCCGCCACGATGCGGAGTCTATACCACACCCGGAGCAGGCCATGTGTGGCCCAGAGCATGGGTCAGTTGTGCCAACGGTCCAAGCCAGCGGCGCAGCCCTGCAACTTCGAGCGAGGTCGGGTGCGAAAGATCGCCGGGGTGAAGAAGACGGTGGCCAACCAGATGCAGGGCATGGGCCCCAGCCTGGGACATGCCAAGGTGGCGCCGTACAAGATCTACGGCAAGACGCGACTGTTTTCCTCCGCAAGCAGCCTCAACAGTCGCTTGCAGCACCTGGCGCAAGAGGAGGACGGGGAGGAGTACTCGGTCCAGGAGGCCCAGCCCCCGCACACCACGGCTTCATTGTCGGCCACCCAGCGGCGGTACAACCAGGCGGCAGGACTCGGCAAGGGCATGGCCATGCAGACGGCCAAAGACATCAGCCAGTCCATCCAGGAGGAGCTAATGGTGGTGGACGCCGACACGCGCGACATGCTTAACTGCGATCCCAGTCGCAAGGCGCTGCGGGACTACCACGACCAGATGGCCCAGCGCTCAAAGAACTCCGTCGACCCCATGCAGGGTTGGAAGCATCCAAAGAACCTGAAGTATCTTTCCAATCTGCCGGCCGAGAGCAGTGCCAGTAGCCCAGCAGCCCAGCCCGAGGAGGAAGCCCAACGGCAGGTGAGGCCACGTCGCCGCCAGATGGTCATGGGTCATGCCATTCGCAATCTCGACGCCATATCCAATCCCCCGCTTCAGCTCGGTTCCGGACCCGGACCCAGGTTCGAGATGTACACCTCCAATGCTAAGGAGATGTTCTCGGAGCAGCGCAGCGAGCTGCGTCCACAGACCAGTTGGCACAGCCCAAAGCCAGCCGCCGAGGACAGTTCCGAGGATCAGCTTATGGACGTGTCGATGGTGCGACCAGAGCGCCCAGATATCACAGTGGCCAGGGCTACCTGGAAGCCCGTGCAGGACGCACCCGAATCGGACTCGTGGTACGAGCAGCCCAAAGCCGAGCGGGAGTTCCTAAAGCAGACTTTCCTCGGCGGAGCCAAGAGTCGCCGGAAGATGGGACAATCCCAGTTGGACGAGCTCCACTACGAGGCGACCGACAATGCGGCCCAGATCAGTGCCTCCCAGCAGGTGATCAACCAGAAGTACGCCGGCTTCCGCAAGTCGGCCAGGGGCAATCAGAAGCAAATTATAGAGTCGGTAAACCCGACGCCGCAGCTCAAGCCTCATCAACGGGCCATGTCGGAGCCCCGGGACACGCGCCGAAGGCGTGGAACTGCGAAACAGGGCGTCGAACGACAGGCTGCACCTCGGTTTTTCGGGGGGAACCGTAAGCCAGCTGCGGAAGATCAGGACGATGAAGAGGATTCCAGGGAGTCCAACTGGCCATCGCCTAGTAACTCGCTGCTCCCCACATCCTCGCGAAGCGATCCTCGCCTACAAACGGAGAGCAGGACGCGTGGCCGGAGTGTCATGGGCGAGAAGCGGGGCCCGAAGAAGTCGCCGGCCGCTGAAGCCGCCGTGGAGCACGACGAGATCGCGATGCCGCCGGGCTACAAAAAGCAGTCGGCCGTCCAACGCCTGGGAAGTGCTTCTTCCAAGTACAACAGCCGCGCCTTCAACAGCTACTAAGTAGCAGTTGTGCCGCACCTTCTGCCTTTCCGAAAGTTCACTCTAATTTCCTACGATAGATGGTCTAGCCATTCGGAAACTCACATTCGCTGTCAAAATCCCTGAAAGTCGACCAAATTGAGGCCTGCATATTGTGTTCGCCAAGTGTAGTATTTTCAACGCAAACTTTAGGCAATTTAAATAAAATTGATTGCAGTTGCGTAAACTGATTGCCAGGCACGAGTTTTAATGGAGCGACGATGGTAATATATGGGTGCTATCTGGAAAGTTGTCGTCTCTGGATTGAATTTCGTTTTCTCGAGCCAATCTCTTCTCTTCAATTTTCACAAGCATCTTTCAGCATTGTAAAATACACATATTTCCCCCTGTAATTGTGTTCTCTTTCACTTTTGTTCACGCAGCTAGTGCCTTGGCATCGGCGAGCCGTTTTCATTTGTAGTTAGATTTTAAACCACGACAAAAGACACCCACAAAGTCTGCAAACTCGAAAACTAGCACTGCACTCCAAGTATGAAAGTATATTACTCTCAATTGAAAACCCAACAGCCAAAGCAAAGCACCGAACTTAAAATGCTAAATCCCGAAAACCCCCTCCCAAAAAACAGCTGAAACGTATTTAGATATGTATATTTTGATTTGGAATTGATTACATGTACCACTTACTTGATTATGTTTAATAGTTGTACATCCAAGTCCTGCTTGTTTGCTAATATCTGCTGTTTTCATCAATCGTTCTTCAGGTGCTGTCAATGAGCACAGATGAATATCGCAAGACCTCACTCTTTGCCACCGGTTCCTTCGACCTGGACTTCCCCATACCAGACCTGATCGGCAAGACAGAAATCCTTACAGAGGAGCATCGGTAAGTTGTCCCTGGCTGAGCTTAAGCCCTTTGATTGATGGTTTTTTGCCTTGCAGAGAGAAGCTCTGCTCACATCTGCCGGCTAGAGCCGAGGGATACTCCTGGTCCCTGATCTTCAGCACCTCACAACATGGTTTCGCACTGAACTCCCTGTACCGCAAAATGGCGCGTCTGGAGAGTCCAGTTCTGATTGTCATCGAGGATACGGAGCATAACGTAAGTTGGATTCCTCCTAAACAATTAACAGATATTCCACCTCATTGAAGGAGGACATTTTAAAAGGTTAGGAAGTTTATTGGCCCGGTTGCAAAGAACAAGTATAACATTTTAGCCAAGTCCCACTGTTCAAAGTGGGCTAGATCATAAATGGGTGGGTAAAACTAGTACTTTCCTTTCGCCTTGAGAAGTCTATCTATCTACGGCGGCGCTGTGGTTTGTCGCTAATAAGTTTGTTTTTATTATTCAATCTGAAGTAGTATTGAGTTCAAGCTAAGTGCAGTGAAGATGAGAGCGCCTAAGAAATGTTACACAAAGCAAGTCAAATCGATTTCACAATTCTTATTGCTCATTTAGGTATTTGGTGCCCTGACCTCCTGCTCACTGCATGTGTCGGACCACTTTTACGGCACCGGCGAGTCCCTGCTCTACAAGTTTAACCCCAGCTTCAAGGTGTTCCACTGGACTGGTGAGAATATGTACTTCATCAAAGGCAACATGGAGAGCCTTTCGATTGGCGCTGGAGAGTGAGTTTGATGCACTTGCTTATGCCGGCACTTGCTCATTTGGACTTGAATCTATTTTCAGCGGTCGTTTTGGCCTGTGGCTGGATGGCGACCTGAACCAGGGACGATCGCAGCAGTGCAGCACATACGGCAATGAGCCTCTGGCGCCACAAGAAGACTTTGTTATCAAAACACTCGAATGCTGGGCATTTGTTTAAGTGAATTTCTGTTGTCGACAACAAACCAATTTAAGGATGGGAGCAGAGCCTCCTGCCGACCTATCTATCTTAACTAATTATATGTACTTGTACTAAAACCAACAACCTGAGAAAGATGTCAAAAGCTGGTGTGCGTCCAAGGATCTTTCGGAACGGTCCACACAGCCCGAACCCTGAATCACTTGAATACACCAAAACCACATGAAGAAGGGATCTGATCTGGAGAAAAATGCGAAAATTCGGTTCTCGGAGGCAAATGCGAGTTAGCTATGCGTTGGAACGTATTAATTATTTAGTTTTTATATCATATATTATTAAACAAAGGCAACTAAATTATGTGTTAGGCTTAAACAAAACAAAACATGAGAAAACCCAAAAGCAGAGTAGCGACACGGAAACCTAAGCGAAAACAGTTGAAGATAACTTTAGAGGTCATCACACATCTACATTAATAATATGGTACACGCCTACACCCACATACGCCCACACAAACACACATTAAGTTTAGTTCTTATTATCGAAAATTATAAACACCAAATTGTGAGAAGAAACATACAGCAAAAAGACAGGTTTTTAATTTATCGTGTCTAGTTCTCTTGTTCGATTTCAGTTTGAATTTAGTTTCGATTGTATGAGTTACTAAAGTTATTGAGAACATTGTGAAGGAGCGAGCTGAGATGAGAAAAATAAAAAGAATGTCGATATAATTTTTAGTGCAAAAGTGCTGATTGCAAGTAAAACTAAAGCGAAGATAACTTTAAACGATTTGACTTTTATGTATATGTAAAGAAGGAGCCGCAAAGAGCTGAGAGCGAGCGTTTTATTTTTTAGTTTTACACGATATACATATATTTAATTATGATTATTTTAATGCTAATGATGTTGACTTTTATGCAATTATACTAAAACAAAAATAGAAACAACACCAGAATCAAATACACAATACTATACAACCAAACTGGCCAAACAGAGGTTTTACTTCCTCCAGACCCACAAATCGGGTTCCCAATTGATCGCTTCAAGCTAATTGCATCGCCCCACCCCGTGGTGTGCCATAAGGCACACCTGTGCTATAAGGGTCACACATTTGTTTTGTAGTTGTAAGTTTGCTTCGCAGATATCGGTCACACCCACACATGTATGTACACATACACAGATACTTCCGCAGCAGAATCAGAATCAGCAGCAGGAGCGGTGGAAAAGGTTTTGAGGAAATCAAACCAACAAACTTAAATGGCTTTATATCCCTTTTGAGATACAATTTCAGTATAATTATAAATAAATAAATTATATACATATATGTATACACATACGCTAATATATAAATGTACAATGGTAGAACGAATATAGGTATATGTAAGTGTAATTTTTGTAGTGTATTTGCGCCCCAAAACAAAACCCAGACCCCCTAGCCCCAGCTCCCCCAATCGATTGTATTGTGACCTCCCAAGAATCTTACGGCCACGCGCCGACTCAGAAACATATTCTAAATATTCGAAAACACACGAGACGCTGGGAGATACATTTCAAAAAACAAACGAAACAAAATTGCTGATATTTTACACAGAACAGAGTTCGAAACTAACGAGGAGTAAGGTATTAAAAACATTTCATTTCATCGGAGTTCAAGTGAAACAACGCACACAAGCCAATATAAAATTTTGAAACTGTAAAGAGATTGAAGATATTAAATGTAAAGATAATCCCAAACCGAAACCCAGAGAACATCTAAGCATGCAACACTTTAGAGAAATTTAGCTGACAATTTGCACGCACCTCTGCCCCTGCCCAAAAATGGAAATATACGAGTACATATGTATGAAAATTAAGAAAATGGTGAGCCATGGCGACTCACGCCCGTGAAGATGTTTTAGATGTTATTTAAACGACCTTGGCAGACAATTTTTGTGTAGTTCCCATGCCTAACCACACACATCCCTTTAAGGGTGGCATATAAGCCAGTCCCTCAGCACGCATTAAACCAAATGAAAATCAAGTTGAATTCCTGTTACATTGTGAAGACGGAAGACTTTCTTTTGAGGACTTTAGAGAGAATCCAATTCGAGCAATGGAAAGGCTCGTTTACTGAGCACAAGTTATGATAACCAGAAATCGAGAGATCGGATCGATCATCTTAGAATCAATTCGACTACACGCAAGCTTCATTTAAAAACTTGAGACCAAAATACGTTTACTACAAAATATACCATGCGACAACTCCCCGCTGAGACTTTCGTACTGGGTCGAGCATGATATCACTAAATATCGATACGTATACCGCAGAATAGTTTGTTGACAACCAGTCAATTATGTCCCAAAACAAAAGTCACACACGCGACCTAAAAAAAAATTGAATATATGAAGTCAAGAAGTGTTTATTTCCGTAGACTATGAACTATGTTGTTGAATTCGTAGCTATGTATTTTGTTGTGCGTTGAGCAGTAATAAAGTGAATATGCAAATCATACGGAGCCGAAATTAATGGAGATAATTTTATATTGTAACTTCTGTCAATTAAATTGTAGACTGGTGCATATTCCAAGCGAAACTGCGTTACTTATGCCGCACATATAGATGTTGCAGCAGGCACTTGTTTAAGCCATCAATGCATGATTTATTGATGACGATAGTTCTGCTCCCCTAAGTTTTGTTGTGAGTTCAATAAGCGCTTAATATTGGTGTAATATGTAATTCAGGCACACATAAGTACCAGATGTATATCAAACCAGCCCATGCGAGTACTTTTTGCACTCAGTGTCCGCATTTCCAGTGCGCTTGCCCATTACAATGTTGAGTAGTTTGCAAACGTTTCTAATTGTTGTGCACTTAAAATTAAACACAATGTAATTCGCACAATTCGAGGCAGAGTTTTAGGCAATGCCGGCATTACGTTGGCTAGTCTTACGTCAGATATGCATACAATATACACCATCTTAGAGATAGATTTGCTATTACTAGATGCTGCAGACGACCTACGCTTTTTCAGTTCCTCCTTATAGAATGCTGACTGTAGAACCGAGCGATTGTATAAACTCCACTTAGAAGAGAGCACCACTCTATCCAGGCCACAACTTAAGGTCCATGCTATAAAGCTACAATGTTAAGTGGGAGACTTGAGAGGGAGGATTTTACAAACTATATTGACAGATCGGGAGAAAGAGGGAGATGTGGATGCAGCAGGTGGTTTATTTTTCTACCGACAGATTGCAAGCAATTGAGAACATAGTTGCTTACTACACGAACAGCAGCCATTACCTAAGGCGTGGTATATATACGAGAGGCATATATCTACTTAAATGCATACATATATATATATTTTTGGAAAGCGAATCTAACGTGTCTCAATGATATCGGCTAGCTGTATTCAGGTCGCGGCCAAATACTAAGCATATTTGCAATGGATCGTGATCAGAGTAAATGTTACAAGGAATTCGAGAGTTCGAAAGTTTGCCTTGGTTGTTTGATTTGAATGGAATGCATTCGTTTTTCTTCAGTTACTCTAAACACATTATGCAGATATCGGATTAATTTATGTGTGCAACTTGTATCGTACCTATAATATTGCATTCCAACAAAAGCAAACTCAATAAGAACAAAAAACACATGAGCAGAACGCAAGAGAATATATATAAATATATCCTATATGTAAATGTAAAGTCATTAAAAAATGAACAAATTTTCTGAAAAATAAAATGTATATTCAAAAATTAACTTTGTGTACACTTTGGAAGATACTTGCGGGGTCGTTTTACTATTACAATTCGCATTATACATTATCCGCATTATCTCTCCGTGTGAACGTCGGGATTTCAGGAACTATAAGTCAAATGAGATTAGGCATTCAGATTCCAGAGACATAGACGCAGCCCAAGTTTGTTGCTACGCCCACTCTTACGTCCAGAAATCTTTCAAAACTGCTACGGCCAAAATTTTAAGATATGACAAAAAAGGTTTGGCCACGACTACTCTAACGCCCAAAAAATTAGTTTCGTCTTACAATTTTTGTTTACCAATTTGGATCGATGTGCCAAAAAGAAATTTTGACCTTTCTCGTTCGCACTCCCACTGGCGGAGAATCGGGTATCTGATAGTCGACGAACTCGACTATAGCGTTGTCTAGTTGTATAACTTATTTCAATGAACCAGTGGAAAGGTCTCCTATAGGTCACAACTGAAGATGACCCATCTTGGATATTGATCGATAAAGAACTATTCCTGCGAGCTTGGTAAGAATTTAAGGGTTTAAATATTTTGATAACCATATCATTGTCCATCTGACGCCAAATACATATAAGTGGCATATATTTAGTAAATGCTGGACATAAAATGTTTACTTCCAAGGAACAATAGAAACAGTTTCTCGGTGCTGTTGCAGGGTCGACCATTCAGCTCCTTTCAAAGTCTCCTTTGAGTATAAATTATGTAGTTCGCCTTCCCGCGTCCGCTGCTGGACAGTCACTTGGTGAACGTGGCTAAATTTCCTGTTTACATGGCTACCGTGGGCGGTTGACCTACGGTCTTGTAGGTTTAATAGGGTCAAGTAAGTCAGAAACAGAATTATTTTGATGAAGGTCTTCTGCATGGAGCACTGGAGAACACTGGAGAACGCGTTGGTAGTAATTTCATGGATTTATGTCTTAACTGCAATGCTAAAAAAACAGAGAACGCTGTAGTCGAGTTGCCCGACCATCAAATACCCGTTACTCAGCTAGTGGAAGAGCGAACGAGAAATTGTAACATTTTTCTGTCATAACAATTGGGAACCAAAATAATAAAATTAAATTTGTCGTGGCCAAAAAGTTTTTTAGATATAAATTATAAATTTACAAAAAAACTAATAAAAAAAATCAAAACATTTTTCAAAAGTGTAGGCGTGGCAGTTTTGAGCTGTTTATGGGTGTTAGAGTGGGTGTGGAAACACCTCTGAAATCTGCACGCCTATTTTCAAGTTTCCAGCTTTTATAGTTTCTGAGATCTCGACGTTCGTACGGACGGACGGAAATGATTAGATCAACTCGGCTCAAGAATATAAATACTTTGAATTATAAATACTATTTTAATTATGGTCGGAATCGCTTCCTTCTGTTCCATACATACTGTTACATACTTTTCAACGAATCTAGTACAACCTTTTACTCTATGAGTATCGGGTCTAAAAAAATATGAAATCAAAATATAACATTTATCAAATCGACTCCTTTTTGTAGACATTTGAAAAGTTATCAAAACACTTACTCAAGAACTAAAATAATTTTCTTGTTGAAAACTTATTTATGAATCAAACCACCAGGCAGTTTCATTAGCGTTTACAGTCCAGAATGCTAGAATCAAGGAACCATTGCTGTTCCAAGTATCGTTTTCTAAAGTCTAGCATACTTTCAGGCAAGAAATACTACAAACTATTTAAAACACGTCTTTTCGGCGGTGTATGTATGTATACATACATTCATTAAAGATTTGGAAGTTTAAAAAAATAAAATACTCTTTTAATATTAGCGGGGCAGCTTCAAAAATGGTGTGTTTAAAACTCGAAAGGTTTAACTTCCCTCCAACCATATACAAAAAATGTAGGCCACACGTAATTCATGAGCTCAGGCTTTCGTTTAATATAAAAAATATACAAACAATATGTATATATGTCGTAAATGTAAATATTTCATGATTTACAGATAACAAGAGAACGTATTCCGGACAAACATTTATTTCAGTTTGCTATTAGATGTAAGCCATATCAAAAATATGTCTAACAAGTTGCATAAGAGTTGAAAGATTGAGTGGTAGCCAGTAGCCGCATTTCCCCACGATATACTGGCTTGTTAAATAATTTTGAGATAAGATGCAATGAGACAGTTGCTTATGTTATTGAATCTAGTTAACTTCTTTTTAGGTATAATACTTTGGCAGCCAAAAACTAAGAATGAGCTAGGCAAAAGGTCCTGACAAAGATGCAACAAACTAAAATTAATAAACAACCAACTCGGACGCTGACATGGCAGTAAGCTAATGGTTAATGCGAGAATGACTAAGGGTACGACTTAGAACTAAACTACTTGTAGAAGGCTTAACGACTAAAGGAGCTTTGAATAACTTTCGCAATGCGGGCTTGGGCTGCCGCCCGTGCAGAGCTATAAATAGTTTTTAACTAGCTTTATACATGTGTGTTTGGTTGAAAATAATTTACACTTTTTGGTTGCCCTATAGCTGAGCTACCGGCTTGGGTTACGTGCATATTTCGCTGTTGGTGGCACAGGTATTACTCGACACATTCGCGTTCAGCGCTCCCGTTCCCGTGGACATGCTAGCTGGCAGACTGGATGAGGATGAAGCTATTGCTGCGGGTGGTGTGGTGGTGGAGTCTGGTTCAGCCTGTTGGGCTTGGGCTTGAGCTGCCAGATTGTTCGTCTTGCTGTTTTCCAGCTTGGCCCTAATCAGGGCCTCCTCGCGCTCCTTGGCATCGAAGTACCAGACGGTGATGGCATAGCGGGTACGGTGAGCGGGCTGCACTTCGTGGGGATTTCGAATGTCAGACCAGAAGAAAATAAGGCGATCAAATTTCGGCTCAATATCCGCCACTGTGGTTCCAGGTGTTGGTCGAATTCTGGTCATAGATAAAAGTTAAGTTGATGTTCATGGCACACATAAGTTTTTAAACCTACCGCAGAATGCCGCCACTTTCCCTCGCATCCCAATTGATATTCAGGTAGTATATTGCCGTTATAACGCGGCCATCCTTTTGGGGATTGTCGACGTGCATGACGTAGTGAGTTCCTGATCCTGGATAACAGGCAACCATTGCCTAAGATCAAGAAATCATATATTAACTTAATCCCAGATGTATTTCCTCATCTTACGCTTACCCTCGTGCGCTCCCTGATATGGTAGTTGCCCAAAATGCCATTATCCTTCATCGTGTTGACACGGTACACCACAGAGTCAATCTGAAAAGTAAAATTAAATTAGACGTCTTTGGGTATTCACAGTTATTAATAAAAAAGCCAGCTCTTGTAGCTGTTAAGCACGAGTAAGTAAGAACCACAGCAGTATTTTATCTTGTTCGTTGCTCACCTGATTGGTCAGATACCAGACATTGCTGCAGCCCGGCTCATTGCCACCAACCCACTTGATCTTATCGCCTCGGATCTTGTCACCGCGCACCGCGGGAGCATCGGGCGTCTGGTTGGTCACAACTTGGCCATCTTGGAAGGCTCCTGCGTTATACATGCTTCGAACCTCGTTGAGGATCTTCAGACCCGTCTCCATGCCCAGGAAGTCGTCCACAACGGATAAGCCATACTGATTCATGTCACTGATGATGTTGCGGCACAGATCCTCATAGCGGCGCTCACTGCGAAAAATCGGAAACGAAGATCTTAAGTCAGTCGGATCATTTAAACTGCGTTCCCTTTTAGTAGAAAGACGAAAGAAAAAAAATTTATTAACTATTCAAGGCCGTTATTCTGTAATTGAATTAGAGATGCCGATGTGAGTGAGGTCACCTTGGGGAAACCCCTGCATCTAATTAATCTAGACGCTTTTCTTCGCTATTATTAGCACAAAAGTTCTATTGCGCCCAAGCTTTTTTACAGGCGTTTTGAGCAACTGGTACTGCAATGCATACAACTTTACGACTTTTTTATGATGCGCCCATAAAAGCAATATTTTCCTACATGTCGGTGGGTCCCAGTCACGTAGGCCACCCAGAACTGAACTAGCCCACTCCGCCGATTGGCCAGACGATCGCGAAATTCTGGATAAGCAGAGCAATACTAAACATTCCTAAAAAATAAAACAGAGATGAAACATTTTCGCACAAGTTGACAGGCGCCATTAAAAGTCATAAAGTCAAATCGTTGTCGCAAAAATACAAATATTTCTGAAACGTGCGACGCTGCTGATCGAATTCCCGGAATGGGAAAGAGGAGAACTTTAAGCACCCAAAGCTACAAAGCAGATTCAGTCTCACCAACATATTAATTTAAAAATTCCAAATCAATGCCTGTCTGAAGATTAAGATACATGAAAGACGCCACAAACAGAAACTGTTAACCGGTTTTATTGGCATTCGCAGTGCCCAGGTTAATGCAAATGATAATTAACAGATTATAAGAGGTGTGAAATCCAGAAGAAAAGGGTTGGTACACAACCCGAAAAACAATTATTCTATGAAAAGTTTATGACCTTAGATTTGAATGTATCAAACAAGTGCAACAACGTTTTCAGCCAACCGCAACAAGCCAATAACTAATATGATGTGCATTGAGGAGCAATTTTTTAGGGATTCTAAAATATTATACAATGAGTATTGAAAAGTTTTATTGTATTAGAAAAATCGTTTTCATTTTTAAAATTTAAAACGAATTAATTTTTTCAATTTGATTACCTAAGGGAAATAAACATTAATATCCTTCACTATGGCCACAGTTATTTCTCTCATTAAGGGCTTCCATAAATTTTAGCCTCATTATAGGCTAAAGTTCTTAGGAACTTTATTTCAATATTCTAAAGATCATTACCGCTTGTCAAGAAGTTCCCGGAAGTACTGCTCAGCATTGGCAGGATGTGCCGAGTGTTTAAAAAAGTTTTTATAGTCCGTGGTCGTGGAGGTGATCATTTTTCCCTTATTAGTCAGCTTGCTTTTCACTGTTATACACTCTTGAAGCACCTTTAAGTCTGAAGTCTTTTTTTGTATCTTTACAGATGACTCAGAGAAAGGGTAGTAAATTAAGTTTTTGGCATTTGAATTGTTCCAGGATCCCTTTTCGATAACCCGAATTGGTTGGTGGCTGATTTTTGGGAGAACCCGAGCGACTTCTTCAGAAATTGACGCACAACTGATGAAAGTTTGAAACCACCCGCGAGTTTTATGCGAGTGGGAGCCTCGATTACAAGAGGGAAAGAGACCGAGTTAGAGAAACACCGGCGGTTATATCGTATGCAATCGTGTATGTGGGCAGGTACGAATAATTGCAGTTTGCATTTGTTGGGGCCAGCTGCCTGTATATTTCACTTTTCGCTTTTGTTTTGGTAGATGTTTGTTTTGATTTGCCTTTGTTTATGCACCGTTAGTCACGTTTGTTTATTGGTTGGCTTCGGTTAACTAATATGTATAGGAAAAAATTTGAAGCAGCTAAAACGAACCACACTCGTCGCCGTTTGTTTTCCGAATGCGGCAGCACCGCAGGCCGCTCTCGCTCGATACCGTTGGTCAGGAAAGAGAGAGATTTGAGAGCAGGTGAAAACTATTTAGCTATTTTATGGCTATAGCTAGAATCATGTGCGCGATTTCTGCTGTGTAGTTAACGTTCCATAAATTGTGCAAGCAATATTTTTCGGCGTTTTTAAAACACAGTTCAGAATTTGGAAAGGAGAACTATACATTAAATTTGCATTAATATCTAAAAACTAAACTAAACTACAAAATTGTTAGTTAGTTTATAGGTTTCAGATGGAAAATACAATTTTTATAATACTTGACACTTTTTTGTAACTTTATTCCCCCATATATTAAGAGCAAAGGATTTCAGAATACGATAATTTAATATGATAAAATCGAGACTGATAGAAAAGGCTAAAATTGGGCTTAAGATTGAAGTTTCTTTGCTCAAGCCAAATTTTGTTTAGCTATTTTCTATCCGCCCACAAATCCGTTCATCACTATATCAGAGCGTCCATGAAACTACGAGTGAATGAGAAGACTGGGGGCCAGGGAAGCAGCTAAAAACCGAAGGAGAAGCAGGAGAATGCGATAAGCAGTACCTTGGTAGCTCTGAGCAAATAGTGAAAAATACTTACATATGTAGGTAAAAGGCAGCTGCAGATAGCGAAAACCGAGCTAAACGTGCAAATTAGGGGATCCGACCCGCAAGGTTCCAGGAAGCGGGAGGAAGCTACTCGTCCCGCTTGCCCTTCAAGAGAGTTCAAACACACTCTGCCAACCCAAAGCAAATGCAAGCGAAAAAGCGGGGAAAAGCGGAGGCAAACAATAAGGCAGAAAGACAAGCGCAACAATCGTCACGTAGCCCAGCACACACACCAACGCACCATTGGCACACGCACATGCGAGCAAGCACACAAACGCAAAGAAGCCACACGCACAGGCGTTAATGCGATAGCCAAGTGAGTCAGAAAGAGATGGTCGCCAGCTGAGGGAGTGCGAGGAGGTAAGAGATACTGTGGATATTTCAATTGTTTGATACAAATATCTGCTAAAAATGCCTTAAAGAAACACTAAGAAAGATGAGCTACAGAACGGCGGAAGCACGCGGAAGCTAGGCGAATGTACAACCACAAAATTGGGTCAACGGCCCAGTTCAAAGTCGGTGCCCAGCAACGTGCACGCAGAGAAAATGGGTAGCCTTTGATAGCACCACGAAATAAATAAACTACTCAGAAATCTGACCAACCAATATAAACTCGACCAAGACGTGCAAAAATCAGTCATGAAATTGGTGACGATAAAAGTTAAAATGAAATGTATCTTATGGAATACTATATTATACTAATATTATTATACTATAATACTACTAATATCATTATTTGGTTAGCCATAACCATAAGACCATAAGTTAGCTCCTATGCGAGGAGTGCATCATTTATGCTGTTTCACTCACACAACCCAGTTTGAAGCACAATGGCCACTAAACTGATTTCTTTTAGAGCATACATATGTATTTATGTACATTTTCCGTGTACATTGTAATGATCGATTGGCGCCCGTTTCCTCTGTGATGTATTACGTGCGACAACGTCGACTGCGGCACGTGTACCACACCAGCTCGCAGCCCTTTTGGTGGCCGGAGAAACAGCTGGGCGAGGGGCGTGGCGTAACACACGCACTGAGTGGCAGTCGACCTTGGTGACGTGCGTCTGCCTACGTAGCTCGCTCGGGCTCGCCTTGGGTTCGAGATTCATCGCTAGACATTGATACCGCCGATGGAGACTAGAGGCATAAGTTTCCACCCAATTGGAATTGGATAACATAGATAGAAGAGATTGCAACCATCAGTTCCTTTACTTGGATAGTTGGATAATCGCTAGAATTTGCTTTGTTCTGAGTACACATGATTTGATTTAAAGTGGAAAATACTCTCATGTCCCTTAAAAACAACATTAAACATCCAAGTTAAAAAAAAAACCGTCGGTGGCGAGTAGATTTGGTTTTCAACAATCACTGTTCATCGAGTTTTGCGCAAACGTATTGTTTATTTTTCCTAGAGAGTTGCTTGACAGGCAGACCAGCAAATTTAGCACATTTATAAACAGTGCCGGAATTTTGCAAACTCTCAAAATGAGATCACGTCGGGCTGATTGCGTTAATTGTTTGATAAAGAACAACACATCCCACCGCAGATTGAAATCTAAGAGCTAAGACAAGCGCTAAACTCTGATAACACGATCTGAACGATCCGCTTGCGTATTCCCGGCACGTAGGCAAAACGCTCCGGACCTCCCTGCTGAACGGACCACCCACTTCGGGCGATAAGAAGGTAGAAATTAAAGCGACTACACTACACCTGACAAAATCGATTTGAAATAATAGGGCAAAAAAATGAAGGATACAAGTAGAAAGAAAATATCGTAACTTATATCATATTCTTAGGAAGCCGTCAGAAATATGACATTCATTAATGTTGCTTTTATTCACTACAACTTATACACGAACACCAAATTTTACAGAACAGTGTTATTGATGACTCAGCCGGATTGACTGAAAGCTAAAATTACGAAAAAATTTCTATATTTATTTCTATTATACCTGTTGAATAAATGGGTATAATAGATCAGTTGAAAAGTATGTAACAGGCAGAAATGCTTCCTTTTTCCGACCACATAAAGTACATATGTACATATATTCTTGATCCGGATTAATAGCCAAGTCGATCTTGCCATGTCCCTCTTTCTGTATAAACGCCTCGATCGCAGAAACTAGGTAGCTAGAATGTTGAGATTAAGCATACTTCCAGAGACATAGACGCAGTGATAGTTTGTTTCTAAATGTTGCCACGCCCACAAACCGCGCAAAACTGCCACGCCCACAAGCCGCGCAAAACTGCCACGCCCACACTTTTAAAAAATGTTTTGATATTTTTGTCTTTATTTTATTAGTCGTGCAAATTTCTATCGATTTGCCAAATAATCGTTTTGGCACGCCTATTCTACCGCCCACAAACAAATTAATTTTTTTTTTTATTATTTATTGTTTATGTAATTTCTACCGATATTCAAGAAAATGAAGACATTTCTCGTTCTCACTTCCACTAGCTGAGTAACGGGTATCTGATAGTCGGGGAACTCGTCTATAGCATTCTCTCTTGTTTTTATTGTATTCGTTAATTCCGGGGTGCAAAGAAAAAATAAATAATCGAGTATCAAAGATTTAGACGAAACAAACTGCGCAACAGAATAATTACAAAGTCAGCACCCTCCGCCCGAAGAATGCTACTCCGACTGCGATTGCAGGTGCTATCAGATCGGGCATGGGCGCCATATGCACTATGCGGCTGGGCACGTAATGCCGAAGGTAAATACTCGACTTGAGAGGTGCCATCTCAATCAAGCCGCAGGGCAATTACGACTCATCTGACAAAGATCTGACAAATGCTTACAGAGTTGAATAAGGAATTCTAAAACATTTTCGTTTAAGAATATAGAGACAGGCAAATACACAGCATGTACATATGTACATTTATCTGATATTAATCTAAGACCAACACCAAGTGTTTGTCTACTAAAGCGTCCTTCTCAAGTTCCCAATTAGACGTTAAGCTTACCTTAAACACCCATAGTACATAATATAATTTGTATTATTATTTCAACCGCAGTTCCGACAACGGGAGAATATTAATATTTTCACCGAAAATAAGAAAAGAAGCATTTACTATCATACCAGTCTACCCAGACGATCTAATCCGATTGTGAAAATTTTTAAACTATTTGAATGAGGACGCAAACGTGGTTACATCGGATAGTGATGTTTAATGAGTGAACACTTCTGATTTACGTTATTAGACCTTTTGCTGTACATCAACAAATAATAAATTAGGCTCCATGAAGCTTGAGGATCACAAAAGCAATAAACTTCAACACCATATGAACGCTGCCATCAGCTTTATCACGTTTTGCTTTTGAATCGTGAGGCTTTTCAGGAGTGGGCACGTAACCGCTTTTCATTAATTGACTTGATATGCAAGTGAAGACGGCGAGGGGCGGAACGGGGCAGGGCAGGGCGAAAGTAATAATGCACATGCTAGAGTCTAATCGGGGCTATAGATTTCGTTTCGGTACTATTTCCACAAATGGCAAACACAACTTCAAGTGCACATGTGTGTACATATGCTGGCTCAAAATAGCTTCTATGAAAAATATATTTCTTTCAGCCTGCTACGGATAGCAGTATTATAGGAGTCTTCTTTTATTTCTAATTGTATTTGATCGTGTTTAATTTTTAAATATGTCGCAGTGGTCAAAATTGATCAACTTCAAGCTGCATTGCAATTCCCAGAAGGTAACGAATTAGCGTGACGGTACTGCCAGCTCTAAAAAAAGAGAGGCATAATCCTCGATAATGGCGAGGGAATTGCTTCTCTAATAATATGGCAAACTCTGAAAATATGAACTCTCCGAAAAATATTTGTTTAATTTTTACACTAGAACATCTAACCCGTCCACTGACGACCCACATATGTACCTTCCTGATCCCATGAAGCTGGCATCCGCAAATCCGATTTGATAGCTGGAGCTCTTTTCGCCATGATGGTGATGCTGCTGCTGCCTTTGACCCGCTTCCGTTTCTGCAGCTGCCGCCTTCTCCTGAATGCCCGGCTGTCCGAGGAAATTCAGCAGGTTGTCTACCTCGGTGGGCCAACTCTGCGCCTGGTGGGCAGGCGTCATCATCTGGGCGGTGGAGCAGTTGGCGCCGGCGCCGCTGCCTTCCAAATTAGCAGATGCCACCGCTTGTTGCAGTTGCTGGATCTGCTGCCGCTGCTGGAGTTGCTGCTGCTTGTTGTTGTTGCTACTGTTGAGCTTTTGGCGGGTTAGGAGGCGGCACTCGGTGCGGTGGTCGGGCCAATGGAGGTGCTGGTGAGCGGGGGAGCAGTAGTAGACGGCCTTGCACTTGGCGCAGCGCAGCAGCTGCTGCTGAGTGCCGCAAATGGAGCAGCGCGGCGGGTCCATGGCCGATTTGGATCCGGAATGGCTAGCTGAATCCCTGACCTTTCCGCGACCCCTGCTCATTGCATTTTGTGGGAGAGGAGTGCCAAAGGCGACGACCGATTTTAACCTTGACAGCTCTCCCAGCTTGTTTTACTCCACCTCTCCTTCAGGCAATGAGGCAATCACACACACACGCTCTCAGATTATGTATAATTGTTATCAATGCGAATTACGGCACTTGAACGTTTTAGCCAACATTTCACTTAAGTCCGCTTGCGCTTATTTTAATCACGTAGGCCACCGAATTTGCCAAATAAACAAAAAAAAACGCACATACAACGCACACACACAGACGCACGGGCAGCTATATGTACGTTGTTGTGTTTTTTCTGCGAATATTATAGTTTGTAAGACGTTTTTGGTTGGGAACTTTTCACTCTCTTAACACTACTTAATCCCCTGAGCTCGATCATCCCATTTTTTAATAAAAAAACTGTTAAAAAATGGAAAATTCTTAGCTCAGCACTAAAATTTCTATTTGATAGCGATGGGCGTCAACCGATACTCATCGTGGAACCATTAAAATAAAATCGTTGTACCGCACTGTTAACGGCTGACTATCGGTATCGATTACTCAACGAACCAACGCTAGTGGTGATAATTTTATACCGACACTTAAATGCCCGCCAAAGGAAATCAAAGCAAATTTTATCATTATTATTATCATTTTCTAGCTTAAATATTTAATTACATAGGTTTTAGGAAACAAAAACGTTAGCGAGAAACTCAACACCCGCTTATATATTTCAGGGATCTATTCGTTTTTCTATCGATAGTGACTTATGTGCCATCTCTATTATCAAACCCAAACAGATGCTGCGCTGGGAAATCAACTGGTTCCGCGTGATAACTTAATCCAACTGATAAGCGCAATGACCTCCAGTGAACGAATGGCTAAAGTAGTCCTGGTGGACATAGAGGGCACCACCACTTCCATTAGCTTTGTGCACGATATACTGTTTCCCTATGCCAAGCAGAATGTGGAGAAGTTCCTAAGGAATTCCTGGGAAGAAGATGATATACAGCATATTGTCCAGGATCTGCAGCAAGTGCCCCAGTTTGCGGATTACAAGGCCCTGTTAAGTGCTCCACCGGCGGAAGTGGATTTTGAACTGATTGCAGGCTTTGTGCGCTATCTAATTGATCAGGATCTGAAGGTCACGCCAATGAAAACGCTTCAGGGTTTAATTTGGGCGCAGGGCTACACTAATGGAGAGCTGAAGGGCCAGTAAGTTCACTATAATCATTCGAAATTTTCCTATCATGACTATTGTATATTAGTGTATACGAAGATGTCCCAACAGCGTTTAAAGCCTGGCGTGCTGCTGGACTACAGATTGCCGTCTACTCCAGCGGCAGCGTGGCTGCCCAAAAGCTGATATTCGGACATAGTTTAGTGGGGAACCTGCAGCCGTACTTGAGTGCATATTTCGACACCCATGTGGGCCACAAACAGGAACAACAATCCTATGAAACCATTGCCAAACTATTAAAGGAGGACCCGAAGCATATACTTTTTCTCACGGATATTCCAGGAGGTGAGTGGCTGATCCACACAAATGTAACCCTATTCCTAACTTTTTTAATATAAAATTATATTTCAGAAGCGGCTGCCGCTCGCTCTGCGGGGTTGCAAGCCATAATTCTGCAGCGTCCTGGAAACGCCGCCTTAGCAGACGATCAAAAAGCTAGCTTTGAGTTGATTCCGGACTTTAAACCACTTCAAAACCTGAAACTGCCGCTCAATAAATACCAGGCTTAGGTCATTCCAAAAAGTATACATATATTGTGACTATGTGCTTGGAAATTAGGTGAATGTCTAGAGGAAAGCTCGATCTACGCTGCACAGATCGTCACCGCTATCATGGCTGGGTGTCTCGGTAGTCAGCCCCTGCGGTCGTCGTCCGGACCGCTTGCTTCTTTGAGACTGCCTCGAACAAGACTTTTCTGTGCCATAGATCTTGCGTAGCTGCTGCAGCTTAGTATCCGCATCTGGAGCTGAACGCTCGGACTTTTTCTTTCTTCGTTGCCGGCTTTCCTCACAGGAATGACGTAATTCCTCGCTCCGGCAGGTGTGGGTGAGCTTGCCCACTTCCGGGCCCCAGAACGTAGGACCTTCAAGAAGAAGCGGAGCGGATTTGACCCGTTGACGCATCATTTCCATATGCAGTTCGTACTGGCGCTCCTGAAAAGCCTGTTCTGCCTTCCGAGTGGCCAGCCGAATGGATAACAACGCCTTGTGGGATTCGCTACAGAAAAAACAATGAAATTGTGCGCAACTTAATATTTTGTGAACTACTTACTTCAAGGACAGCGATTTCCAAGCAGGCGTTTTTCTTACCTCCCAATCGAATTGCGGACGGGGATCATGATAAGTGCAGTTGTTCTTCAGTTCCTTAACCTTTTTCCTAGAGACTTCAGCCCGCAAAGTTGCCGCTAGATTAGGACGAGATACCGGGTGCAGCGGTGACACACTGGGCGTTCTTCTCTGGACCGGTTCTTCTGGCAACTCATAGATGCACAGCGGAGGTAGTGGTTTCTCATCCTTTGCGTTAGATCCTGGCTTTGGTTTCCTTACTCTGCCGCGTCTTCCTCGACCTTTTGCTGCGGTTGAAGCACTACTACTTCGCTTCGATGAGGTGGTGGGCGATTGAATCTGTATCTTAGGCACTTCCTCCTGATTGCTGAGTGGAAAATAGTTGCTTCGCGCAGGTTGAGCTAGTTTGGAAGGCTTCGAATGAGCCTCTAAGGTAATTCCTTGAAGATCATTGACACTGAAGCACCTGCGCAGCATTTCCCTCCGGCATTTGGCTCGTTCTGCCGTATGCTGGCCAGGATTGGCAGTCTTCTGACAGCGGTTTTGTGTCTGACTCGGCTTGTTGGTTTCTGTTTCAGTCCCTTTGCTGCTTGTGGACTTTGGCCTGCGGAACTCCTCTTCAAAGCTTTTAAGGGACCTCTTGAAATCCGCAACCTCCACAGCAAAGTCTTCCTTAAAGCTTTTTAGGCGACTCAAGTCCCTAAGGCACTTGTCGTACTCGTCGCTTAGACAACTGGAATTGGGAGTATGCACAACTGGGTGGGTAGCGCATCTATCCTCTTGATCGGGGATCACTAAGATTGCTGGCGGAGGAACAGGATCCAGTACCAAAGGACGTTTTTTTATTTTTTTCCCTTTGGAAAGCCGCTTTTTAGACTTTCCATGGCCCACAGAACTTCTGCTGACACCAGCACTTCGCTCTGGGGTTGGAGCAGTTGCTGCCTGAGATCGCAGTTCACGGCTGGTACTACGCAGGCTCTGCAGAGTTGAATAGAACTCTGCTTGGTGCAGGTGCTTAACATCACAGTAGTCTTGAAAAACCAAAAAGAAATTAGGAATTTGGGCGGTTTGTGGTCGATAGAGTGGGCGTAGCATAAAAAAAGTTGGCAATACTGATAGGAACTGGCAAGACAAATAATAAAATTATATAATTTCAATACAATTTTCAAAAGTGTGGCCGTGAAAGTTTTGGACGGTTTGTGGGCGTCAGTTAACAAATTTGAGTTAGTCAGTTAACATATTATCACGACATTCTAGCCTTTAGCCTGATATCTCAACGTTCGTACGTACGGATAGACGGACATTTCCAGATCGAAAATCGGCTGTTGATCCTGATCAAGAATGTATATACTTTTAATAGTCGGAAAGGCACCCTTCTACATGTTACATACCTACATACCATAATAAGTGCACAAAGCTTCTTTTTTATTCCATTAATATTTACTTTTATATTGATTCAAAGACTAATACTCAATCAAATTATCAAATTCACACATTTTGTGAAATGGAAGTCTATAAATTCCTTCAAATATTAACAATGACGATTAATTTCAATACGCAGGTATTAGCCCTTGCGCACTTTGTAAGCAGAACTCACCAGGTATACTGTCGTAGAATTTAGCTAAGGACCTGACCCCCATCTGGCTGCTCCAAGCAGGTGACTCCTCCTCCGGCTGTGAAGTTGGAGGCTTTTCAGGCGGCTTCTTTCCACCAAGGGAGCAGAGCTTGGGGCGATTGTATACCGGAGCCGGACAGTTGTTGCACGGATCGATGGGCACTTTCACACAAGAATTCAGATAGTGCGAGCTCATGCTGCGCGAAGTGTTCCTACTGGAAAATATTTAATTGTTGCAAACGCGCTTTATCAATACCAAGCACAACATGCAGTTGTTGCCAGCGGTAACCTTCCACTGTTTGTTTTTGTGCACTTCCGTTTTGGGCACACCATTCGCCAGGTCACGCACCGCATTGCTGTCCTGATTTCAGATGCACTTCGTCTGCGCAGTCGCAAGGGCTGGGAAAAACTCATTTAATGTCCCAGTAAGTTAGATACCCTTCCCTAGAATGTATTCATTGATCGATATATTAATGTTTTTATTGTTTCAATGTTTAATCTTTCCACGGGATAAGAAATTTATCCATCTAGACGGCAGACCAAGTTGTAAAGAACAGCACATGGAGCGATCGATTTTAGTATATATGAAATGAAAATCTGTTGTGGTCCTACCGAGTGATACACCAATCCAGGCTATGATATGGTTCAGAAATAAAAAAATTGATAAAAGGTGCCAAAATGAGTGAGCTTTAGATGGTCTATTTATTTATCCAAATCCTAAATAAGTTTTGTCGCAAAAGTTGATATCAGAAGTTGTCGAATTTAAAGCGAACGTTTTCAGGTATTAAATAAGGTTTTTTATTATTTGTTGTGGCGCTTTTAACACTTACCCATACATTTTGACCAATTTAAATCTATTACTGTTGAATTACTGGCTATGATCCACGCTAAGACCACCTTTGAAGATTTTCATAAACGTATGTATATACAGTGGGCTCACTACTTATTTCAACCAGAATCTATCTGAAACTTCAACGGTCTGTTAAAGCTGAACTAAAAATTGTATCAAACAAATTTAAACGCAACATATTTCTTGTATGTTTTAAGATATTATTTACTAAGTTATTTTATTTGTAATAATTTTGGTAGTATTTTTTAAGAATTATAATGAAAATGTACCTCAAAACAATATGTTCTTATGCTTAAAACATATGTACATATGTACGTATGTATGTATAGATATGTACATATGTATAGTAGGATTGTACTAAGTGGTCTAGAGAAATCCCTTATGCATTTAAGCTTAAAATTTATGGTTCAATAATTGCAAAGTTAATTATTTTTATATATCTTATCTCCATCCAAAGGAGTTTTGAGTTTTATTGAGTTTTACCTGTAGAATAGAGTATACCCTACTAGATTCGTTGAAATGTATGTAACAGATTTTGTTTTTTATCTCTCCCATACCAATAGAATTTGTTTCGGTGATCTTAGAGCTAAGTGAATTATTGGGGCAGTGCTAATGTACAAAAAACACATATACATATATATAATAAATAAATATAAACACGCAAGCAAAATATGTATTTAAATATACTCTGCGCTCCGAATTTTATGGTTGCTTTTGCCAAAACCGACGGTGGCTTAATGCTTATTTTTTATTTGTTAATAAAAGTTGTTAGGTTTTTATACCCGGTATAAAAGAGTATACTAGAATCGTTGAAAAATATGTAACAGGGAGAAGGAAACGTTTCCGACTATATAAAGTATGTATATATATTCTTGATCAGGATCAATACCCGAGTCGAACTAGCGTCGAACTAGAGTCGAACGCCTCGATCTCAGGGACTACAAAAGCTAGAAGTTGAGCATGCAGCCTAATGTTGCCACGCCCACTTTAACACCTACAAACCGCACAAAACTGTCACGGCCACACTTTTGAAATATGTGACATTTTTTAATTTTTGTATATATTTTGTAAATTTCTACAGATTCGCCAACAAAATTTTTGCCACGCTCACTAAAACGTCCACATAACGCCCAAAACGGTCACGTCCACACTTTTAAAAAACTTTTTTAGTTTTTTTTCATTTTATATTTTATTCCCCCAATTTCTTCCACTAGCTGAGTAACGGGTATCTATAGCATTCTATCTTGTTTGTTTATGTTTTTTGCTTACTTTCTAGTTCGTGATTTTTCCGTAGGCTGTTCGCTGTTTTTGTATCCACATTAATTGCGCTATGCACCCACTCTCTCGCTCTCCCACACATCATTCAAGTCAAAAATATTATTGTGCTTGGTATTGTGATTACCCACAGCTGACCAGCTGGCAATTGCAGCAAATTCTAATGCAAAATGTTGCTAGGATCAGCTAAAAAGGATTCGGAGCAATTGATCAATCCAATGTCCAGTTTAAGATTGATAGAGATTCCGATTTTTCGGTTTCACAACCAGTGATCCACCTGTACCCGATTAGTTTACCACCACAAAGGAATATTGAGTTCGGACTACCGGCACAAGTTGGTTCTTAAGAAACACAATCTAAGAGAATTAGGTGTTTTTTTATACCTTATGAATCTTCATATAATCTTCATCCTTCCAATGTAGCTAGCCATCTTCATAGGAAAAATGTGAAACAATTACTGCCTTAAGTTTCGAGCAACAGACGACTAGATGCCAGAGATCCCCTGGGTGCCTTAGCTTGTCTGCTACAGCTTATATAATTCCCAATATGAACATTTCCATATCGCTCCCCTTATAAAAAAAACACCAAATCAAATTAGGGCGCTGGAAATATCGATTATTCAATCGAAAATCGAATTCTAAGACCAAAAGTAGCAATCATAAAATCCAAGGCAATCGATACTTGCAGAGAAGATAGCGATTCTCAAGAAATCGACACTTTGAGTAACAATCGACATCGGTCCACCCCTGACTCGCATAAAACAAAGACCAAAAACCACCAAACAGCAAAGGCGGCGTATTTAGTTAGCGGAACGTGAAACAACCGACTTCACCTGTGCGCGTGATTTGTGCTACCGTCATCGTGAAACGAGCGCACCGAAAATCGGCGAGTTTTCTGGCAGATATTTTGGAGGCCCCCACCGCAGCAACTCATACAAGCAAAGATGAGGCTGTTAGCGGCAGCAACAGTTGCGCTTGTATTGCTTCTGGGACAAGCAGCTGGCGAGGAGCTCGCGGAGGAGCGAGCGGGACAGGCACAGGGCGATGCAGAGGTGAGTGTGCGTGTGTTGTTTTGTTATGATTCAGCAACGCGGCCATTTCCACATCAAAACGCTTTCGCGATGCAAAAAATAACGTAATTCCCTTCAAAGTGACTAAGGCTTGGGGGCAGGTATAACAGTTCGACAATAAGCGGAAAACATGCAACTTTACAGTTAACTCTCACTCGCTCTCACCCGCTTGCCCAAAATCACATACACAGAAGTTTACCTGCTCACCCACACCGAACAAACCCATACTCACACACTTTCGCCATATTGGCTGATGTCCCTTGTTTTTTCCTCTTTAAGTACACGGACAAAAAAGAAGGTCAACTGTCCAGTCTCAGTGGATTAATTGCAATTTAAACAATGATTTTCATGTTTTGAAATCTATGATATAATTCAAATTTTAAACAACTGTTTAATTTCGAGTTTTTAAGTATTATTTATCCCATCCATGCTACTGTATTCTCTGAGAGGTCTATTTTTCCCGGTTTCTATTCAGTTCTCCACTTTCATTGTTCCGCTTATCTTTGCCTTTGTTTATTCTGCGACATGTCAGCTGTTTGCTTATTTTTGACCGATAGAAACCCATTGATCCCCAGACTGCGTTGTTTTTGCAACTGCTTCTTATCGGGGTATTTTAATCGGCCACACCAGTCCGTTTTAAATTGCTTTGTGCCAGAAACTGCGTTTTAATTTCTGCCTTTAAGTGAACTTTTGCACAAACGGAAAAGGAATTTCAATTAGCAAGGCGGTTTTACGTCCCGTTTAATCCCAGGGGGCTGGGTTTTTTGCGGAAGAGCCTTGCATATAAAATCGAACGATTGGTAGCAAGTAACTCAATAGAGAGTTATGAGGCTAAAGAAAGGAAACAGGATTCATCCCTCTATCAAGCACTAACCCCAATTTTAAGTTTGTCCCAAACCTTCTCTTGTATATACGATTTGCAATGCTTTAGCACATTTACTGATTCAATTGAGTTATTTGAAAGTTTGCACCCAAGGAGCATATTTGATATATTTTTTTAAAAGTCCGGGGCTTCTACAGTGCTTACACTATTAGCTACAGCAAACAATTGCCCACTTAGTAGAGAGATTTTTATGCAGTAAATTGTTACGCAAACAAATTTATTAAGAAAGCGATGAGTATCTCAACGAACAATAGCCTATTTTATGTACTCTAGCAAGGTGAGCTACTAGAAGTGTTTTTTGTTTGCATTATTACATACATTGAAAATACAGGTAGCCTAAATTCTAGAAATGAAATAAAATATATTATTAGAAAACACTTTGATTTAGGTAGATAAATACCAATATTTTTTGCATTGTAAGATGATATGATACTTATGTTTTATGTAAATTTGAATAAATTTTTTTGAATATTTTTTCTGCCTGTAACAATGGAACTTTAGTATTATTTCATTTTGAATGTACACGTTTTTTTGTATGAATTGAAATAGGAGGGTAACTATTATTAGGCAGACTGAACGACAAAGCTATTGACTGCTATTAGGGTACTAAATATGATCAAATTCTTCAGCGAGTAATACCTGATTGATGATATCAACTGAGCACACCACTGTGAGAACGTGAACAGATTTCGAATTGTGATTAAGCGATCCATGATTCAGATGGGGAACAGATTTCAATTTAAATAAATTAAATTTTCTGTTTGTGGTACTCCAAAATGACCGCTTCCCCGCCCCTGTGCCATCAAGTATTGGGCTAGATTAATGACTGAGAGAGCACCGCATGGTGCCCCCTTATCTTCGGAGGAAAGCTGGCCGGGCTTTGGGGTGATGCCATTTGGAGCAGCGTCATCAATATCAATTAAATCACCGGTTGCCAGCAGGGCGAGAACGAGAACCAGAAAAAAATCGCGCAGCATTCATCATACTCCGGCAACCAAAATATTTGTATATGCAAATAATTTAATATAACGTAAAAAGGGTTCAACGAGTTAAAGCCACATCATTGTGGGTGGGAGGGGTTGCAATAGTCCGGCTACTTGAATTATTTATAGCGTCGCATTTAAAATGTTGAATTTTAATTTGACGCATGCCTCAATGAAGGCAAAAAGAAGTTTAAATAAACAGAATTCGAGAGCTGGTTGTGTAAGGTCAACAGAGTATTACCCATCGCTAAACTATACGCCCATGTTAGAAACTATGTCAATCCAAAAGATGTACGAAAACTGGTCTAGGAACAAGT